GGCTTCCCTCCATCCTCTCTCTCTAGCAAACCGGAAAAAGAGTCCTGATTTCCCGTCGGGGTTGGGGGAGGGGGGCTAGATTTGGGTTAGATTCTTAAGCACCAAGCAGCGCATCTGACTTCATGCGGTTCCCCTCTCTCTGTCTCTCCCCCCTCCCCCCTTAATACATAGCATTTTTATCATCCTTAAGACAAAGTAGCTGGCAAAATATTTAAGCGATCCGAAAGAAATGTTTTTATTTGCCTGTGTGCGAATTGGGTTATCTGCCGATCTTGTTTATGAAATTTGGGGCTGCCTTTCCAGCAGTCTGTTCGCCTCTCAAATCTTTCCCGGCTCCCATTTCCATATTTCTGCGTGCATGTTCTTTGTTAATCACTTGGCAAGCGCTTATTTGAATATTAAAAATTTCTTTAATCATCAAAGGCAGGAGCACAGTCTCATGAATATTCATATTCCCCCCCCTCCTCAGACTGGATTCTAGTTCATTACCCTGCAGTAAAAGCCAAACAGCCATCAATCGCCCTCATTACAGGCTCTGGCGTTTTGATTGGCTGCCTCCTGCTCAGAGCTTTTTTTTTTTAATTTATTTTTTTATTTTTTTTATTTTTTCCTCTTCTCCTATGAGCTGTCTTGTACCTGCCAACAACCAAAAAAAAAAAAAAAAAAATCAACAATGCAAGAATACATTTCTCTGGTTCAAAAACAACTTTGCGAACTTGTCAAACAGTCCTCGTGGCTTGCTGCTGCCGAAGTGGTCACCGGTCACCAGCACTACCCCCCTACCTCTTAAAAAAAAAAAAAAAAGAACGGGTGGGGGGTGGGAAAAGGTGGGGGAGAGAAGAATTAAATAAATAAATAAAAAGGGAGAAACTTGAGCCTCAGATGAATATTTGTCAAGAGAGTTGACGTAAGTTTCATTTGCATAATGACTTTGTACTTCTGCATTAATAAAATTTGCATATGAAGCCATGTTAATTACTCCTGATCATGCTTTTTGCATTCATGCATAGTAATTTTCTCCGACTTGTGAGAATTAATGTCTTGGCATGGGGGGAGGGGGCGCAGGGATTGTCAGGTTTCCTTGCCAGTGGCCCTCACTCACAAGCGCTCACTCCCTGTCTGTCTCCCTCCTTGATCTATGACTCATTTTTGCACTATCAGTAGGAGTTCTTGGCTTAAAAGATGTATCAATTGAAAAGCACCAGTAGGGAGAAAAAATCTACATCTCCAGTCCAGTGTATTCCAGAGCTCCTCTCGCCAGCTAGGAATCCTTAACCCTCCCATGTGGGAGGGGCGCCCGCGGATCCAGCATTGGGAAGGGCGCACCTTCCCCTCACCACCAGGCTGGGGCTTTTCCAGGCGCGTGTTTGTGTGTCTACGCGCCGCCGGTGGGTGTGGGCGTGCTCTCGGGGTAGTGCGCATGTGTGAGGATGAAGCAGGAGCATCTGCAGGGCCCCTTTAGAAGGGAGACCGGTTACAGACACCCTCAGAATGCATGCGGTAAAAACTGCCTTGTGCCCCGATTTGGAGCTTAAGAAACATTTTAGGGATCTTATTTTTGGACTTTTTTGTGCCTCTTTGTGCAGGAGGCATAGAGCAACATTCTAGCCCCCGTGAGCCTCAGTTTTCTCGTTCATGGGGGGTTCATAACACCTACTCCCGGAAAAGGCTGCTGGCCTTAAATGATATGTGTTCATTGTTTCTTTTCCCTCATGAAAGCCAACTTCCATGATAAGGAGTCGAGCCAGCCAGGGTTTTATTTTTAAGCCACCTGGATCCTGCATGAAGCTGGCATGGCGTCTTGGTGCCCCTCTTCCACATACCTCGGGTGCCGTTCCAATTCCAGACGGGAACCCACCTAGACCTCAAAAGAAGTAATTTTTAAGAGTGTCTTGCAGAGCTTTGTCGGGTGCCTTCTAGAGCCGAGAACACCCGACAGACATTCCCTGCCAGGCTGTGGGGAGGGAGCCGGAACAGTTCCAGAGTGGAAAATAAATGGATGGTAGTGGCCATTCCGTGAATGTTCACTGGAAGCCAGCCTCTGGCCAGGCTTGTCCTGACCTTCCTTTAAGGGCGGGGCTCTGAGAAAGTGACTCACCCCGGGTCATGTGGCCAGGAAATGGCAGAGGGGATTGGGCCTAGGCCTCAGCTCCAGGCCTGCATCTGAGCTCAGGCTTCCTCTGTGTGTGTCAGTCTGTTGTCACTGGGCCTCAAGGGCTCTGTCGAGCATGTTCTGGATTTCCTGCCTGCACTTGAATGCAGGTGCTCCTTCCTTGAGGATGGGCAAGGGCTGGGAGGTGGCCTGGGATGGGTGCCGAGGCCAGACAGTCCTCACCTTGAACTTTGCCCTTTCAACCACTTTAAGGTGTACAGTTAGTGGTTTTGAGTGTCTTCACAATGTTGTGCAACCATCACCACTGCTGTCTAATTCCAGAACATTCTCTCCACCCCAGGAAGAAACCGTGTCCCTATTAGCCTTCACTTCCCCGCCCCTGGCCCCTGCAACCACTTGTCTACTTTCTGTCTCTGTGGTTTTGCCAACTCTGGACGTTTACTGTAGTCACACAGTGGGTGGCTTCTAGCATTGCCTTCAGCTTTTGCTCTAGCTTCAGGAGAGAAGTTCTGGAGTTTCTGGAGTTCCACCCTTGGGTTAGGCTGCTGGGGGTTGGGGGGGAGGGATTCCCCAGGGCAGAGGCCTTCTGAGAGCAACTGGAGTGTCCTCTGCGGGCAGCTTAGGATTAGAAGCGTCTCAGCCTGGTTGTCCCCTCCCCTGCGTCCTTTGAGCCAGCCCCTGGAACAGGTGGTCTTCAGTGAGGTTGGAATTCTCAGTGGGGCATAGGGAAGCCCCTCCAGGGGGCAGCTTGGCCCCCCAACCCTACCTGAGTTGGGGGATGACTTTGCCTTTAAAGGCTCTGGGCTAAGCCTGACCTTTCCAGAAGGAGAGCTGTGGGGCTGGACCTGCCCGTAGATCCTTCCTCTCAACCTTGGAGACCTGGCTTCTGCTCCCTTTCTGCTTAGGCAGTCCTGAGCACTCCGGTCACTCTTTCTCAGCCATGGTAAATGGTGGTGGCTGTGTCACCGTTTCACCCAGAACCTGGGGGCCTGGATTTGCTCTTTTTCAGTCTCCCATGGCCCGACTGAGCCCAAGGACCCTCCGGCTTCCCTCCATACCACGTGGCCCTTCTTCTCAGCATCCTTGGGCGCCCTGGTCCCTCCACACCAGCTGCAGCCCGAGGGGGAAGCATGGCATATCCAGGCTTTGGAGACACAACTGGGTTCAAGTCCCAGGTCTCTGTGAGCCTCGGTATCTCCTGTGGGATGGCGGATGGTTTTCTCAGCTGAGTGAGGTATTGGTGGTAGGTGCTCAGCACAAAGCCGTGTCCAGGAGCCTTCCACGGTGTGAAAGGCAGGCGGATGCAGACCGGACTGAATGTGCAGTGTCCAGTGCTGGGGCAGGGGTTTAGGAGAGGACTGGCCAGGGCAGGTTTCCAGGAGGAGACAGAGACACTGGCCTTGGGTGTCGACTTTACATGGGGGCCAGCACTGAGTCTGTGGCTGGAACTGTGTGGGGTCACTGGCCATGCCTCCCTTCTGGGGCTGTCATGGGCTCAGCCACGCCCCGGGCCCCAAGCCTTGCCTCCTGCAAGGTCTTCAGGGGCTTTGGCTTCTTGGCAGGACATTTGCAGGTCTTCTGAAAGGCCCTGGATAACACCTGGTTTGTAGAGGCAGGTGCCGTAGTGGAAGAGGCCTGGTTCTGGAGCCAGGCGGCCTGGGTTTGGTGGGGCTTTGGTCACGTCATCGGTTTGCTGGTCTGTGTAGTGTGTCTCCCAGGCCCTGTCCCCTGGGCATGTTGGGAGGCTCACTCAGGAGGGGGCCTGACAGGATCCTGGCCGGAAGTGGGTTTGTGGGGCCCCGTGGCTCTCCTGGGTGGGGGAATCCCTTGTGGGGCCCCGAGGTGGGCAGACCCCCACCCTGCAGGCCCGTGTGGGGTGGTGAGCGGCGTCGGGTGGCCTCCTTGGCAGAGCCGGCCGGGGGCCCAGCTGCCCTAGTCTTGTTGGTGTTTTCTTTTTGTCTCTCTGATGCTTCCCCGCTCAATTATTTACCCAGGGAATTTGGGCTTCTTCACTTGTGGTTTTGGCAAGGGCTTCACACAGATTTTTGCCCTGGTGGTCTCTTAGCCATTTAAGATAAACGGCCAAATCAAACGCAGGCCTTGCTGGGGAGTCGAGGCGGGCCGTGGGGCTGGGCCGAGGCGAGAGAGCTCCTGGCCCTGCATCCTGGCTGTCAGATGGGGGAGGTGCCCCCCGCCGGCCTGAGGCGTGAAGAGGGGTGCTGGGCAGTGCCAGGGTTTTCTTGGGGGTGGTTGGGGGGGCGTTTAAAGCCTTCCGAAAGGCCTTGGGGCTTGTGTGCTATGTGCTTGATGCTCAGGTTGCTGAGGAGGACCGTGGGCTGGAGAGAGACACCAGCTGGCCATCCGCCAGGCCCGCAGGTTACCCAGTGCCCAGGTGCTCGGAGGTAGATTGAGGTGTCCAAAGGCCTGTACCAACAGCCCACCTGATGTAGCAGACGGTGGTGGCTTGGAGCCTCTCAGCTCCTCCAGAGGGGGGTGGCCCAGGTTTTTGGGAATGAATCCCCAAAGGGAGCCAGCTCTGGAACACTCCAGAAGCCTCCACTTGGCGGGTGGGGGGCTTCCTGGGTTCAAGGGTCCTGACAACCTCTTTTGCCACCCCCCCCCCCCCAGGGATGGGAGTCTGGTCCCAAGACAGCCCATCCTGGCAGCTGTGGAAGGAGGACCCCATGAGACCCCCCACCCACTTCCCTGGCCTCTTGCTCCCTGCCTGTGCCCGGTCACCTTCCCTGCAGGACCTGGCACCTTGGGGCCTCCCACTCTGGAAGGGTGGCCTGCACCCCTCTCTGCCCCGGGCCCCTGCCCCACACCCCGGGTCCCTTGTACGGTCCAGGGCCCGACTGACCAGTCTTTTTTATTGTTTTTTCTCCAGGGCCGTGCAGGCCTGCCCAGCTGCCAGCGACGGCCCCCATAGCTGCCTCCTCCCACCCTCACTCATCCGTGATCACTCCACCTCTGCGCACCCTGGGCGCTCTGCCGCCCTGCTTCCCCCTGCCGTGCTGCAGCGCGCGCCCAGTCTCGGGTGACGGGACTCAGGGTGAGGGTCAGACGGAGGCTCCCTTTGGATGCCAGTGTCAGTTGTCAGGTAACAGACGGCCGCGGTCGGGGGGGGGCGGGCTCCCAGGGATGGCGGGGTGTGCCCTGGGCCGAGCTGGCGGCTGCCTCTCCCAGGTGGGCCGGGCAAGGTGGGGCCCCAGGGGGGATGTGCAGTCCCACCCCTAAAGGCATTTTGGGGGGGCACAGAGGGAGTGGTGAAGCACATCAACGTGCCCCTGTCCCCATCGGTCAGGAGGCTCCCCCGACGCCTCCGCCCGTTCTGAGTGTCTCACTCCCGGAATGCATTTCTCCAGCTTCCAAATTTCATCTCTTTGGGCTGTTTAGCTAAAGCTTAATTGGATAACACTTAACATCTGAGGTTTTCTTCTGCCCTCGCCACTGCCACCCCTCCACCCCAGTCACTGCCCCCTCCCTGACGACAGCACTGGGGGGAAGACTCCCCGGTTGTCTGTGTACATCGCCGGAGCCATCCAAAATGCTGAGTTTCTCTTTGCCAGAATGTGTTGCCTATTAACTTTGAGACAAAAAAGTCACTCTGAAGGAACCTTTCAGCTGTGGCCGTGGGAGGGGGTGAAGCCTTGCGGGGTGCCTGTGGGGTGGGGCCATACACCTCCCTGCTGTGTGCCTCTCTGCAGGTCTGTGTGGCTGCCCATCGTACAGGTGGGCAGACGGGCAGCCTCGGCACAGCGCCCCCCACCTCTCTTCCCAAACACAACCCAAACTCCTGCTGTGGCCTGGGGTCCCTGGAATTTGTGGGCACAGGCCTCTCCTGCTCAGGGCCTGGTGCCAGGATGCTGACACAGACACAGGTGGTGGTGAGCGCCCTGAGGCCTGGTTTCCGGGCAGGGGCCGGGAAAGGGGTTTGGGGGGGGGCCGTTGCAGAGCTGGGGCCGATTCAGTTTGTCCCAGCTTTGTCACCAGGCACGTTGCAGGCTTTCTCTTGATGTGGGTAGTGAAGGGAAAACTGTCTTTCTGAGACAGGTTTTGCTTTAATTGACGCTGTCCCAAGGGACGGTCCCTGGTGGAGCCCCAGCTCCAGGGGCACGAGCCTCCTAGGCCTTCCTGCTGGTCGGGTGACCTGTGGCCTTCAGCAGCTCCTGCTGTGGCGTATGGCGGCATCATAGGTACTGGGGCTAATGCCGTGAATGCACAAAGCAAAGACTAAAATTGTCCAGGAAGGCGTCGGCTCCACAGGCAAAGCGGCCGACTCCCTGCCCCGGGCCACCCGAGCGCCCAGGGGGATTGGGGCTCCCATCCCAGCTCTGTAGGGCTGCGTTGTGATCTCTGCTTGCTGAGCGAGGGATGCCGGCTTCGTCCGGGTGCTCGCCCTGCTCTCGTGGCTTCCTGTAGTTAGTGCTGCACCCCTGCAGCCACGCGGGCGGTCGCGCTATCAAAGATAAGCCTGAGTGTTTCTGACTAGACTCTTGTCAAGTTCTGTGGTACAGAAACATGATTTCCCTGGCAGAGGTGCACCCGGGGCTTCACTTAACCCTCTGTTGGCTCTGGTAGCAACATGTCCTCCCACGCTTGCCCTCAACCACAGTGCCACCCCCTTCCTTCAAGGGACCACGTGTGGAGGGCCTACTGTGTGCGGGATTGCACTGGGCCTTTTGTGTGCATTCTTGAATTTAATCTCCCTAGTGACCTTAGGAGGTAGGTTCTCTTCTCCGCACTTTCCAGATGAGTAAGTGAGCCTCGGAGATGTGGAGTTCTCATAGCCCACGTCCGATCATTCTCTTACGAAAAGCCCCTTCTTGGGCACCTCATCTGCAGGCGCCGTGCAAGCCAAGGTGGAGTCAGGCACCGCGGGTCCGGCCCTCCTGCAGCTTGCAGGTGGAGATGCGGAGCGCGGGAACGGGGACCTGCAGAGAGGACTCCTGGAAGGGGGCGGAGGGGCAGAGGTGGGATTTGACCCTGGCTGGTCATCCAGAACCTGCTTCATCTCTGGCATTGGCTCATCTGCCTTAGAGGCCCTCTTGGATTTTAGAACTTGATGCCATGAGGGCTTAGAGTCCGCGAGCAGCCCCCAAACTGATGTCAGTGTCCAGGGAGGGGAGCGCGGCAGGGTGGGCTCTGTTCCTGGGGTCTCTGGGACCGCCCTTCCTGACCCTCCTCGGAGGCCTGCTCTTGGGCAGTGATTCCCAGCGCTGCCCTCTCTCAGTGTTGGATCCCCGTTACTTAGCCTGCTTGAGGTTGGCCCTCTGTACTTTCCGATCAGTTTCAGTACCTGAAAATATCCTGTTCCAGAGCTTTTTGTCCCTTTGTGGCTTCTGTCCCTGGCACTGGGCTGTTTGCTGAAGTGTTTTTAGTGCCTGTTTAATCAGTAGTTGGAATGGAGTCATTAAATTCTCACTAACCCGTTAGGAAGAAGCAGTCCTCTGTAAAGACAGAGAGGGGCCACCGTCCTTACTTTGTTTTGTCTCTTTTCAGATCAGGATGCACTGAACCTCTCTCTTCACATTAATACGGAAAACCCTGGAGTAACCATGTTGCACACAGGTTAACTGCATGCCCGTGAAGGCATTCACAGTTATTTATAGAAAGATGTGATTTTTATGGGGGAGCAAGCCACACAGGTTTGTGTGTTTGTGTACCTCTCTGGCTGGCAGCGTCCCGGACAGCCCTGCCTCCCGGGACCTCCACCCCAGACCTCCGGATGGTTACGGTGGGGTGGGGAGGAGGCACTTGGGCTCTTCATTGCTTTTTGACTCTGTTGAGATATTGGGAGGGCTTTGAGTGTGGGCGTTCCTTGGAAACTGAAGTTTCTTCGCTGAGACATTTCGTGTAGGAACTAATCCAGCGCGCCCGTGGAGTCGAGAAGCTCGGGCTGTGATCCTGGCCCTCCCTCCACCTGGCTGGTGACCTTGAAGAAGCTGTTTTCCCTCTCTGGGGCTGTTTCCTCTTCTGTAATAAGAAATATAAATGCGTCTACACACGTTCATATGTATCACGTGATATATACGTAACGTTTAAAAATGAGACTCCACATTTGACTTCTAAAACAGATCCTATTGATCTGTTTCAGTTACTGGCTGCTGTGGATGACTGGGCACGTGACTTAGCTCAGGTCCCCAGGGCAGGGGTGTGGTGGTCGGAGGCCGGTTCGGAAACCTCTGGGCCTTGGCTCCCCTGAACCTTTCCCCATTCCAGGGTTTCCATGACTGTCAGGCAGTCATCAGAGTGCATCCCCTGCCCGAGTCAAGGCTGCTGTTCTGTATGGTTTTGGGACCTTGGGCAAGTCGTTTTCCTCCCTGTTCCTCAGTTTCCCCACCTATAAAATGGGGGTGATGATAGTTTATGCCTTGAAAGCTTGTTTTGAGGATCAGATGAAGTCATATATGCCAGGTGCTGAGACCAGTGTCTCATGCTAAGTGAGCCCTGTAGAAGTTCTGATTCATGCTTGAGCAGAATGGGTTTTATAACAGCACACAGTTACGTGTCTGAGATTTTATATCAGGCTCGATCTCCAGGTTCCATTCTTACAGGCATTTAGCTTCTTGGCTGGCTCAGATCATGTACCAGCATCGCGAGGTGGAAAAGGAACCTAGAAACCTCATTGCATATTTAAAAGCCGCAAATGGTCATCTGCTACCGTGATTAATACATGTGCTCGGTGAAGTTCAAGGTCTCATGCAAGAACACACAGGATCCCAGCTCGGGGAAGTGGAAGTGTTTGGATTTAATAGAAGGAGTCAGTTGCAGTCATTAGTAGATGCTGAAATCACAGGGCAATCTTGTAAAGTTAAATTCAATTTACTTTTCTACTGAAATTGCTTGCTGTGTTATTTAACTAGTCTGGGGTTTCTTGGCATGGGTTAAAGGGACAATAAAGATAAAAGAATACCTGTAAGTAAATAGTAGGGTGTAACAGTAGAATCTATCATGTACTCCTCCTTCAATTATATCCCAGTGTTCATTTGTGTTGGTTTTTATAACCGGAGCCATCCAATGGGACACTGTGGATTAGACCACCCTAGCTGTGGAAGCTTGATGCAATTAATACAGTCTGTCTGGAAAGTGGCCTTATTTCTGGAAGTTTTATGTTAATGATATGGTCTGTGCTTTGCACATTTCATACCAGAACAAGAAGCACGCTGTAGTTTCATTCTGAACTGGGTTTGATTAACACCGGAGGACCAGTGGGAAGCCAAAGGGTGATGCTGACCGAGATGGCAGCGCCCGCCAGGCCCCCACGGGTGCACCGCCTCTGTTCTGGTGCAGGGGGTGCAGGGGCTCCCCAGTAGGGCATGAGAGCCTCCCTGGAGACTCTGGAGGGAGGGGTGAGTATGGGGGGTGGAGGAAGAAGAGAAGTGAGTGTGGATGAACGTGTGTGGACCGAAGCACTCCGTCCGGGAAAGGTTCGAGACGTGCCCTTGTGATTCCCTCCACAAAGTCGCGTTTGCTGTGAGTCTTTTGGGGCTAACCAGGTCCCAGTGTCAATGGGGGTTGGCTCACTGGAGGAAAAGGGCTCTCAGGAGAGTCATTAAAAATTTAAAGAGTCATCTGTACGCCTTGCGATGTCTACAATGCTGAGGGGGCTGGTGGTCCGGCATTTACAACCCGAGGGTGATCCTCGCATGCCTGTTCGGTGGATTCTGCTCTGGTGTCTGCCTGCTTTTTGGGATCACACCGCTGCAGAGGCTGCTCTGGACCTCCTGTCTTTAGAACCCAGGTGCCTCCTTTTATAATTGGGGGAAGTACCAGGAGAAGCCACCGAGTGCTGCAAGGCCCCCAGGACGGAGGAAGCCGACTCTCCAGGCTGCTGGAGGTGGCAGAGGGCAGCAGGGCTTGGGAGGACTCCAGGAAAGCCCACTGTCCGGGAAGTCATATCTGCTCCAGCACCTACAGGGCCAAGGGCACCGCATTTCTGGGGACCAGAAGGAGTGCAGTGTTGCTTGCGGTGGGGGTCGGGGGGGGCGGCGCAGGGGCACCTACCAGCATGACTGTCCCTGGATAAAAGAGGTCCCAGCAACGTCCGGGAGAGGAGACCACTGCAACCATGCCAGATTCTATTTCACTCCAAGCCGG